CTCTCTTGAAAATGATTCAATTAATCAATGAACTCCAAAGAAAAGGTCCGTGTACCCCGGTAAAATTTCGATTTCTGGATGGCGGGAAATGAGCTTTCCTGACTTCTGAAATGTATTTTAAGTTCTTTAAAATTCAAGGTTTTCCCCTCTTGAAAACAGTCAGGTAAATTTTTCTCATTTTTTATTTTAAGTGTGTATTCATACATAAACAAATGAGTAGTTGCATGCGTATTCTTTTTGCCATGAATCGATAAATCCCAAAAAGAAAGGGTGGTCCAGGGGTCTCCCCCTTGAAAATTTTGATTCCTAGATGGCGGGAAATGGGCTTTCCCGACATTTGAAGTGTGTTTTAATGACTTTTATGTTGTTCAAAATTCTAATTTTCTTAATGTAACAAAAAAAAAAAAAAAAAAAAAAAAAAAAAAAAAATCAGCTCACGGGTCCTGAAAAGGTAGGTCTAGAATTCATTTTCTTTTCCCTTTTTTTTGTTGCCCAAGGGAGGGGTCAGGACCCATGACCCACTCCCCCATATCCGCCAATGTGAATTGCGAGAAAATGTAACTCGGTCGGGTACTGGATAAACATTCTCTTTCCCATCCTTCTCCTCCTTCTTTTCTTGCATTTCCGATCATACAAAAATCTCCAGACATTATATATTTTTTGCCAAAAAGTGGGGCCCCCGGTTCCGCCGGCCATGTAAAAGGCATAATTTGGAGAACCGAGCGCGACGACGATAATATGCACGCAACATCGGATCTCTCGTGCTGAGCCCTCAAACCACTACTGTACAGCTAGTGGTTGCTTGAATCAAACATAGTATTCATTACCTTACGGTATATTGGACAATAGATAAAAACAGGCTTAGGTCTAGCAATCGCTTTAAAGCCGGTACATAACTAGTACACTTAGGCTCCGTTTATACGGTTTTAAATAATTTTCTCCTTTTTTTTCGATTGTATTAATAGAGGACACCTGTTAGGACATGTTTCATAGCCATTGTAGTATGGTTTTGCTTAACCTGCCAGTGCGTATGGATAGGATACACATATTATTTTACGTTTCGAAGCTAAATAAAACTTTCTTTAAACTGATTTATTTCTGTTAAATTTATTTCAATAATACACTTGGTTAGTATAATTCGTCATTACTTTGAATACTTTTTGCCAAGCCTGCCATCATTCTATTGTGGTGCCTACGAGCTACGAATCCTTAGGCCTAGGGTCCTCAAAATAGGGACTGCAGTTTCAGGCCTATCTTATTTTATGTATTACTTAAAAAAAGAAAAAAAAAAAAAAAGAATGCGACCGACCAATCGTTGATCTCGATTTCTTCAATTTTGTTAAGAAATGATATAATAATAATTAAAAAAAAAAAATTAGATAGTAATACTTGTGACAAACTTTTTTTTTTGTTTCAGGTGAGCAACATTTCCTCTTTGTGTAGAGTAAACTCTTTTACAAATGGCTCCGTCATCGTTCATTTTGAGTTAAGTTTTTCTCAAGGCACAAACTACACAGATGATACTCTTAAATCTGCAATAAATTCGTCTAAGACTTCCGAAGTGTTTTTTCTACTATATATAGATGTAACAGGTTAGTACTATACATGTATAAATATATGACTAAAATTCTATTTCTATTGTACATAATTAAAGCTGCACAATGTACAAAACTTCAAATGTTACGTTAAGACACTTAAGTGAGTAAACTGGCAGAGAGGTAAGGCCAGAGCTCCAATGACCACCACATGGCCATATTATTGGTTAAATCAACAGAAATCATGTTGGTAACACTTATACGGCATATATATCCACTGGCATAAAATAGGTATAGAAAACATTAAAATAGCTATAGACCAGCATGCAATAGCCGTTGACATAAAATAACTATATAAAGCATAGAAATACCTATAGGAAGCGGCTAACATAAAAAAGCATTACCTTACCTTAATTTCGTCGACCGCCTAGTCGCACTTATGTCTGCACATGCTCATTCAAATTGCTTCTGTGTAAAGCTACGTTTACTAGCTATATCTAGATTCCGGCCTGTCCTAGAAGCCCTAGGCTATCTAAGTAAAACCAAATAATCTATATTCTTTGGTAAAACACTGACAGCAGCAGTTGCTAGCCAAGTTGCACATTTCCTGCAGACAGACGAAAGCCCCCCACGGCACTAGCCTAGGCTCTATTATATGTATCCTTGTGATAGTAAGGGGTGGGAGTGGAGGTCTATCGTCTTTCTGTGTGGCCGGAATATAGCCTAGGGGTATGTATAACCTGGCAGATAAACACTACAGTTTTACAACAAGGACACCAACCAGGAAAAAATTATGTGTGGGAGGAAATTCCTAAGAAAGTTTGGATGGATTCTGATAAGGAGGATTGTAGCATAAAAAATAAGAATGGGTGGTAGTAGTATTAAAGGCCTACTTCTGTATAACCTTGCAGATAAATACTACAACAAGGACACCAGTTAGGAATAAATGATGTGTGGGAGGAAAATTGCTAAGAAAGTTTGTATGGAGTCTAGTAAGCAGGGTTGTAGCATCGAAAAATAAGAATGGGTGGTAGAAGAAGAAATGTTATTAGGAGTGGATGGGTGATGTGATAACATTTGTAAACGCTAAATAACATTAATACGAATCAGATTGGATTTTAAGGATTGGAAAGAGGGTAATAATGGTGGGTGGAAGGCCATAAAATTGGGTTAGATGTCAGTACTGGGTGGATACCCCACCATAATTTAATAGTAATATCCATAGTTAAGCACCTAGACTAGGCTGGGAATGAGATATGAATGTTTTGGCCATGTTTGTAGGCCAAAGCTAAGCATAGAATGCACGAGAAATTGTAGCTAATAATCATAGTTGGTATAAATTGCAAAATTAGATTTTGCTATCATCAAAATTATAAATAGTGCATCCTAATACTGAATATTAAATTTTAGTTAGAATTGAGATACTTATATACAAATTAACGAAAACACTAAAAGTAAATGGTGAATCTGTTCAGGGTTCAGATCTGTTCTTTCCTGGAGAGTGTGATCCTCTTCTAGACGGTGTTTGGCTATTAGACAAGCCTCCGTGACCGGTACATTTGTGAATAGTGATTTGATGTCAAAACAAGAGTGTCTGTAGATTCGAGGTAAACATCCCGGATGGTCTTCACAAAGTGTTGAGAGTTGGTTACATGATGACCAGTGTTGTAGGATACAGTATCCTAGCAAGATACTTGGCGAGAGGGTAGGTTGGTGAGTCTCTCACCAAACATATACGTATTTCTCTGTTTGGAATTGTTGCAGATATTATTCTCCTGAAGACGATTGTGAAGCAACTCAATCGAAACATCGAGACTTCCTCAACTACAACAGTTCTTTTCAGAACTACCTACGTGGTGTGCCACAAGCATCAACATATATGTTATTATTTCGCCATGCAAACCTTCAAACAATAAAATTCACACAAGAGCAGTACATATTTTAGCAATTGAAAAAAAGTCCAACTGACTCGAACTCATTTAAAAACTGAAAGAGAAACAATAAACATTTTTGTAACTATGGACCTTGGATTTGGAAACTTATCGATAAAATTAATGATATATCACTGCGAACACTTACTGCATAACATTAAAGAGGCAGTACTGGAAGGTGAAACAGTTGCAGAAGAAGCCAACAGTTGCTAATAAAGTAGAGGGAACCCCAAAAAAGAGAAAAATTCCCCAAAGTATACCACTCAACAACTCAATACCAACCAAAAATGTGAATTCTAAAATAATTAAGTATGTAATAGCAAAAAAAAAAAGGGGGGGGGGGGAGATCCTTTACCCAGCTTTTTTGAGTCTATAACACAAACTGTGCACAGATTTTTCAAGGCCAAACAAGTTCAAGTAAAAAAAAATAATTGGTAATGGTTCATTTCATTTCATTTCTTGGGTACCAGAGCCAAGGATATGTCAATCAGTGAACTTAATCGTTATCCAAGGTGGCGTATCCATTAAACGACCATTACATCGGGGTAACCCTTACTCTTCTCGGAGGATGTACTGGGACCCAAATGTGCACTACACTTTAAAGTCCTTTTCCAAGAAAACTTGTTCCACCACCAGAACCATTGGCTTCAATAATAATACATGGATTATAATTTTTTGATTACATTAATTAAATATGGTTAGTTAAACTAATAATTAAAATAATATTTCCAAATTCGTAAAATGTAAAGTTGATATAAGTACAATTGATCTATACTCTCAAACTCAACTCATAAAAATAAGTTCCATTTCTATAAACCTAGTCTTTTGTTTGGTCTGACTGCCCAACGAACTCTGGTCGTGGGAGGGTTTGACATATCCGATGTAAGGGGGGGGGGGGCGGTGTGAAGTGGGATTCACTTCTGCTGCCCACCCCTCCCCCCTTGCCTTCGACTGCCGCCGCCACTGGTATTATATTTAAATCTAACATGATACTAAGGACAAGTTAGGGCGCTAGGATATGCATACAGTATAGGCATACACATACTTAATAGTTTGGCCTAGGCTACCAGGCCTACACATCTGTCCTAGCTGGCTAGTTAGGCGACCCTACTTCTTGGGCCTACCTAAATAAAGAAATTGTAAATATTTGTTAGGCTCAGAAGTAAGCTCAAACTAACTAATGTTCGGACCACGGGTCTGTCTTTCTAAGTTTATGGAATTGACCCATTCGGATCTTTCATTTTTCTTCTTATTTGACGCTTTCCACAGCAAGGGAACATCCTCGATATCATCATCGGCGGTTGCCCATTATGTTGACGTCGTTGCACTTGGTTGCTTCCTTTGACTCCGATGCTTTGTTCCCCGGACGCGATGTGAACGCACTTTACGCACAACCGGAAATTGTGACCTGGCCCGGACTCGATGTGAACGCTTAAATGCATTTATAGGCATTTTCGTTTTGACTACGCGGCCAGTCTACTACGAACTAATAGAGCTTAACAGAAATTTGCGCATGCTCACAAACCTTACTGGCTAAATCGGCGTTGTGATAGCTTCCGCGACAACCCCAATTTCTGAATTTGGCGTAGTGGCGACTACCCTAATATTGGCCAATCAGATAACCGGATTGTTTGGCGAACTACTGTTAATTTTTTTGTTAGCGGTTACAATTTTCATCTCATCCGCGATCGAGTATTGTTCGTTCAATAATGAATTAATTATTAAAACAAGTGAGTAATTAAATGTTTTATGATGGCCTAATTATACACATACAATAAATAAAAATGAATAGTCACAGCATAAAATTAGGTAAATCAAAGGATAGTGAAAAAAGGGGCCTCTTAGGCTTAGGCCAAGGATAGGCCCTTGTCAAGGTGGATTTCGGGTAGAAGAAAACACATTATTTGGTTCCGTAGCTAGGGTATCTGTACCCATGATATCGTAGAAAATTTTGCTATAACTACCTGTTTAAAATTGTTATGTACATTTATTTGTACATCATCGTTGCATTTGGCAAATCGCCTGAGCAGGCCTGACACCCCTCTTCTCCCGGTTCCCGACTCTTTTGACACCTAGGCTAGGCTAGGCCTAGCCTGTAGTAGGTCTGTCCTAGCCAACAGCGAAACATCACTCAGTGTTTTCTGGAAACTTTTTATTTTGTATACAGTATTTTGACTAAATTTTTTTTTTTCACATTTCTTTTTTCCAAATATAAAACAAGGGAACATTGTTTCCTGGCATTAAAACCATGGTCGACTAACTCCCTCTCTATAGGCCTACGTACTAGTGCTGCGTCGTCGTAGTCGCCTTAAAAAAACGAAAACAGCTCTTGGTGTAGTACGTGAACAGTGTCTTTGCGTTGCCGTCACGGTCCATTAGTTCGAAATAGACTGGCCGCGTAGTCAAAACGAAAAATGGCTTGATTCATCATCGTGAATCACTTGATTCATCATCGACGATTCACTTGATTCATCATCGAATTGTTGCTTGAACGGCGTTCCATAGTCTAGTGCTCAAAGGAAGCGGAGTTGGATTCGTCGTACAAAGATGCTGTGAAATACGAAAGCTTAAATTGACCTTCCGCGTTTCCGAGTTTCCAAGATAATTATCATGGAAACATGGAATAAATACTTAGTAAGGCGTCTTTCCGAGATAATTTATTTCGGAAAGACGGATTTCCGAGATAATTTATCTTGGAAAAAGTGAATTCCAAGATAATTTATCTTGGAAAGACGGAATTCCAGTATAATTTATCTTGGAAAGACGGAATTCCAAGATAACGTATCTTGGAAAGACGTCTTTCCAAGATATGTTATCTTGGAAAGACGGAATTC